TCTCAATGTTTTTTCGCTGAATGTGATGAAAACATTTGAAAAAGGTTCGCTTATTGAAATAAATCTACACCAGTTAGTACTTCGATTTCCAGGTAAAGGGAAAAGGCTCATTATCTGCCATATTGGCAGTGAGGATGGATTTGTTGTTGACGGTCTGTGGTGCTTTGAGTCTAAGAAAACTGGAGATTACCACGAGGAAATGAATGGCGAATCGTTTGAACAGTGGTTTTCAAAAATTTTACCGAACTTAGAGGAAAACGCAGTAATTGTGTTGGATAATGCGCCTTATCATTCTCGAAGAATGGAGAAGGTCCCAACAACGGCTTCAAGGAAAGTTGATGTTCAAAATTGGCTCCGCTCGAAAAATATCAACTTTGAAGAAGCAATGCTGAAAGTACAATTATTAAGAATTGTCAAGGATCACAAGGCGGAATATTATCAAAAATACGCCATTGACGAAATGGCAGCAAGTCAAAATAAAACTGTGCTCCGTTTACCTCCATACCATTGCGAGCTCAATCCCATTGAGCTCATATGGGCAGAGGTTAAAAATTATATAGCTAAGCACAATACAACTTTTAAATTTTGTGACCTCAAAGGACTTTTCAAAGAAGCACTAGAATTAATAACAGCGCAAAAATGGGAAAACTGTATTGAGCACGTGAAAGACAAAGTTGAAAAGAGAATGTGGGAACTGGACAATATTTTAGAGGAACAAGTCGAGCCATTCATTATTGACGTTGGTGCTTCAGGCAGTAGCGATGATGAAAGCTCATCAAGATCATCTTAAAAATAAAAGATGTCGTTCATCAAATTCGGTAAGTTATAAGTAATTATAAAGCTACTGTATTTTTTAATTAATTATTGACATTTTTGAACCCATTTTGGCAAAACCTATTCAAGAATCTACTTTCTGACAATGTTCAACCATGCACATTTTTTACGTTTTGAACGTTTTAATTTGGTTACATATTTACCTAGAAATCAAAAAATATACTAATCAATATTCTAAAAGCAATTTTAAGAGATATACGATTATTTTTAATTTAGGCTAATTTAAACGCCATTTTGAGATTATATTCGACTGTATTTCACCAAACATCAGGCGGCATCCGAAGCTGGAAATCGAAGCGAAAATTTTGAAACCCTTATGTATATTTACATCATTATATATTTCTTACCCCACCCCCACATGATCCTCTATCCATCACTAATCGTATACACATCGAATTGTGCTAATTTACGCAAGTTACGCAAAGCAGCATCTACTATCTAAAATATGTACTGCGTGACTCTTAATACGTCCCTGCCGAATGTTACAGCGTTCGATGATCACGTGGTCTTGTTTATGTCCGGTCTATCTCTTATCTGAATATACTGTAGCTTGGATATTCCAATCGTAGTTGTTTCTGGAAAGAAATATCTCAACTTACAGGATACTCTGTATTCACAGGGCTGATTATGCATATTTTGCAGAATTTTCTAACTGCTATTTCCATAATTCTCCGCACCTGACTTCAGCTGTTCTTAGTGCATTCACCATTTTTGGCAGGTACGACTTTGAATGCACATTCGCCATGTTTCACCAGTAGCAAAAATGGAAAATGTAACGTAAATAATATTATTCAAATCTTATTGTCAAGGTTACATCTGCTTTCTGAAAAAATATATATTTTCGCTTTCAGAGTTATTATCATGCTACGTTGTTAGTTATCAGCAGAATAATGTACTACTGGTTCTACGATCAGACCGTGCAGTACACAGTATCGTTTTATTCTAGATTTGTCATCAGCTTGATTGAGACTAACGTCAAGTTTCTACAAAGATTATACGTATATGCGAACTAGCTAACTAAGTTCTGACATAAATATAATACTGTTTGTATATAAGTTCTTAAACATAATGCTAATTCACAAATATTTGTAATATTTTTTGCCTTTCTGATAATCTTGTGTATTCTGGACATACCCATTTTTCGCATTCGATACTGCCGATATTCCATCTTAAATTGAACTTAGTCTCAAAGCGAAAGGTTACTAGGTACTACATAGCGTCAGCAGAAAAAATAGATGCGTAAGCACATAAAAGATTTTCCGCATTCCATTTTTCCCTAAATCGCCCAATATCTAGGCAATTTGTTAAAACACCGCTCGTAGGGTCTCCCTAACTTGCAGTCCCCAGCTCCCAGTTCTCATCAATCAAGGTTAAACGTACACACATCTTTCAAAACAGTATAGACCAGATAAATTATTTACAGTGGTGGCACAGTCTCCTCGGATAATCGCTGAGTGTAGGCAATATATCTAAGGGTTGTTTCTCCCACAAAGCACTTAGTACCGGTGATCTACCTTCGAAGGTATATGTCTAGCAATTAGGTAGATGTATCGCTTTTGGAAGGGTGATTACTTTGCAATTTATCATGATGTATTCATAATATAATAACGGGGAGGCAAGCAATTACTTTATTTGAAAAGGAACCTAGTGCTTGATGCGTCGGCTTGATATAGCGATTCAAGAAAATGTCAAATCTTACTACAACTACATTCAAAATTTGTACATAATACGCGCGACGAACCAGTTTTGCGATAAATAGGGGTCATGAGGCCTTGCAAGAAAGTTCCAGGATACGTTCAAAATCATTGGTGAATTGAAAGCCTAGGTACTCTGACTGGGGAAACCCTGAAGATGCGATATGAACCATGATAGACTTTCTGTCTAATGACCAAGGCTACGTCCAGGTAACGGTATTCTTCTCACAAGTTGAGGTACGCTCCGCAGAACCTGAAAAGCCACACCTGTTACATGGCTTCCAGAAACTGGCGATTTCACACTTGAATTACGAAACATCCGTACCTAACCGAGCAGAGAAAAATGCCGTACATAATGTACTAAGTGACATAGAGAAAAGAACGTCCCAGTAATAATAAATTTATTATAAAGATTTTTTAAGTATATCTCTGTTAAGGTTACGACAAAAAACGTTGAGCTTTTCAACCACAAGAATAAAGTGTTTTTTGTGATATTATCTTGTTTTTATATAAGAATAAGAGAGCGATAGTTGTGTTTTGTAACTACAATTGGCATTTGATCATCTTGCAATACGTTGTGAAGAGCTGCTTTAATCTGTTCAGCGTGCCTAGAGTGGGAAGATGGACAAAATTTTCATAAGCTTAGCAAGTTTGATAGGAGGCGAATAGTGGGCATGTGACAGGCTGGTTGTTCTTTTAGATAAATAGCCATATGGGTACACAGAAGCCTAAATATGGTGGTGGCTTGTTGCCAGATATCGAATTAGGAAAGCCAGACTCGAAGAATTAGAGGTACAGGGCGTGTCAGAAGAACGGCCCCACACAAAGATCGCCGAATTTGGTTTTTGTCCAGGTCAATTGCGGATCAATGTTTTGGATAGCATGAAAAGCCTGTTACGAGACGAATTGCTTATTGCCGAATGGATAGTTGGGCTTACTTCATACCGTCCTCAGTTAGTGCTAGCTCTCACTAATAGGTACCGAAGCGATCGACTGGCTTGGTGCAGAGAACGGCTGAACTGGGACCCTGAATGGAATACCATTGTCTTTAGCTATGAATCCAGATTTTGGTAGGGGATGAATGATGGCCCTGCAAGGGTGTGAAAGAGGCGAGGTGTGGCTATTGGTTACAGAAGCATGTCACCATTTAAAGTCTAATTTATTACTTCTACACTAGTTTACAATACTTGCACCTAATTTATAAGAAATTTATAACTATCTCGACTGGACTATTATTCCATTTTAATTCCGTTCCACTGACGGTCTCGACTATGCCTAACTATTTCTGCCATCTGGCCGGCATACATTCACCTATCGACGCGTCGTGAAATGCTTTAGCGTTTTCCAGGCAGAGTCGCCAACACCTCGAATACTCGCGATTGTGTCGCGAAGGGTGCAGAATACAAGCACGCTCCATACTTGGACGCGCAACTCTGGTCGCCTAACCGTCGACTCTGCCAAGCGACTCCTCGCCGCTCAAGGTCCAAGCTATACGAGGACGTTACAGTATGAATAACTATTATGCATTATAGAGATCCGTAGCTTCTTGATAGTAGAAGTCTTTGTTCTATCAATTTACAACCTTTAATTTTCAACCCGCCATACCGCATGCACAAGTGTACCATCGCTAGAGTTCGTGTGAGAACCCCCTTATTCCCTGTATCCCCTTATAGCCCCACGGAACCTTTGGCCTTCGTGGTGGTTCAAAGTATAAACTAAACGCACCTGATTCTGATATATACATATATACATTTTTCCGCATGATTATTTTCTATATATATATATATATATATAACCTAATAAGTAATATACAAGCTATATTAGTTACAATAAATTAGGTGTTAATATAGAAAGGAACTGGTTTTGTTTCGCAGGGGTAGTATGAAAAGAACCTAAAAAACGTAAAATAACGATGAAATGTCATCTTGCAGACTAGGTAGTTCTTAGTGTGCGAATAGTTCATTCCAGGTTTGCTCAATATGATCGCTGTTCGCTGAAGTTTAAGCAAGCCGTACAGCTACAGCTACAGCTTGTGCTAAGTTAACATCCTGTAGAAAAACCTTCGTTATGTCACAAAAAACCTGCGAAGTGTCAAATAAAAATAGACGAAATGTCACTTTTCAAGATACGTAACACTAGTGCCGATATACAACCTTAAATACCGATTTGTTTTAAAACAAAATGGGCCTAGCATCACTACCTGTAATATATGCATAATATATTTGTATTTGCATTTAAGAAGACGTACATTATATCTGGCTTATAATGAAATCAAGTAAATTGCAAATAAACGAATTGCTAGGGATTTAATCCCGCACAAGTGTCATGAATTATTCAAAAAGTTGCACCGTTTCCGGCATTCGGGAAAAAAGATTAAGGCCTCGCTGACGACGAGGGATAGGCTTGATTAGGAAATGGAATCCCGAAATTACCAATTACCATCTTTTTGTAACTGAAATTAGGGGAACTCGGTCATAGAGAACAACTGCTGAGACCAATAAAACACCGAATTGCTTCTAGCTGTTGAGGGAATTGAGCAGATGTGAAAGTTGGAAGTTTATTTCCTTGGTTAATTTGCTTTTCACGCGGTTCACCGACACCATCGTATTTGCCACTCTAACAAATATAATAAAATACAATATACCTTTCATAATATACAACACAAACAATAATATTTTATGCCACCTCTATAGTGCGAGTTTTAGATCTGATATACAATTTTTTAAGTTACCACCATCGTTAGTTAACGAATTTTACGTGAAGATACTCAACCACATACTGTATTCCGGCATCCAAAAAGTGATCCTTAATGCCTATTGATTAATGTATTCTACCTGACGATAGTCAATTAAAATATGTACATTCATTAACATACATCGTCCGAAGATACCCAATTAAAAAAGGCATTAAAGATGCCACAAAGGCATTGAAGACCATCTATGAGACAGTAGCAGAACCAAACTCTCTCTTTTTAAAGTAGGTTTATAAAATAATGTTTGCGTCCTACGATACTGGGCGAGGAAGTATTATCGCGAAAAATTTTGAAAATGAGATTGAGGTTTATTGATGTTAAAAAACATGTCACTATTTCCGTCTGCCTGTCTGTTCGCCAGCCCTTGGACCGACTATAACTTGAGAAATTTTGCTCGGATTCGGATGAATTTTTTTACTTCTTGTGTAGGACGAAAAAGTTATTATTATTTTCCAAAAAAATTTTGGTGGGGTTGAAACTGGAGGCTCGGCTCGCATCCTAACCGTGTCGAACTTCGTCTATCCAGAACTGGCCGATACGACCGCTCCTTAGTCACTAGGTTATCGAGATTGTGGAACATTTTGCCTGAGGAAGCTTTGCCAGCTCTATTAACCTTAGGCAGTTCAAAAATAGGATTTAAAAAAAATGTTATTATGTTTGACGTGCTATGCAGAAGTCGCATAAACACTGGCTGAATAGGATTTGTTTGTTCTCTGCGACCACAACAAGCAGTATACAACGTTGTTTCATGCTTTTTAGCAATCATCAGTACGTTACAGGTGCAGTCATTGGAGTCATATAGCGTCTGATCATTGAAGCGGGCTGTTAATCTGAGATGTTGAGAAACCAGTCCCCGATGGCACTGCATCCTCTTGGGCTTATTGTACTCTCGTACATTGCGATACTATGTTTTTCTGTTGACCTATTTTCGTTAGTCTGCTTTCTGTTGTCTAACTATACTCATACTGTACTGATGATTGCTCAAAAGCATGAAACATCGTTATAGTCACAGAGACGGAAAGCAGTTAGATCCTATCCAGTCAGTAGTATGAACCCAGATTGGTGTAACTCTTATATTTTCCATTACTTAAAGACAGAATTTCGTATTCCATGCATACATTTTGGAACATCTATCTCAAAAGGGGTGGCAAGTATGCTTCCTACCGTTTGACATAAATTAACCCAGACGTAACAAGAGCGCATACATGGGGGCTCAGGATATTATCCTATTACTACACAATCTTCATTAAACTTAATTAACGCAATCCCCTGTCTCTGCATCAACAGTTTGATAGCAGAACAGTACATACAGGCTGATGGAATCTTCAGCACGTGATATGTGAACTAAGATCTGATCATCTAGAATTCAGGAAAGACGAATTGATAATGTAAAAAGTAGAAGCTTCATTTAAAAAAAGTTCCACTAGCTCCTGCGTTCTATGAGCTGGATAAAACACACTTTCTGGGTAAATCGACACCCGTGTCATGTAAAATAATTGCGGCAATAGCGATCTGGTAGCTATAATCGAGAAGTTTCGTGATATTCAGAATCGAATATGTAATGACATACCAGCAAAATATAGACTAAATACAGGGTGTCCGCAAAGTTGGGGTTTTCCTTTACACGACGTGTAGATCTTGAAAACATAAGCAATTTTTCTTAGTACCATATACACCAATGTCTTAAGGGAACCGAGATAAAGGGCTCTGCAACATCAAAAATATCTGAATACCGTCCTGTAGCCGCGACTCGCGACATCCCCGACTGGTACTCGGACACTAGCTCAACCCGACGACAGAACTGGATCGGGGGTCGGGGTCAGTGTGTCAGGTCAGTATGCAACCTTCAACCGACGGTTACGGTCACGCGCGTAGAGGTAAACGAACCCATATAATCGATTGCGTTTCAAAAAACAACAAGCACTAGAGAAGTGCAAGTATCAAAAACTAAAGTGTGGCAAACGCTGCGTGAAGAGGGGCTGTATCCGATTCACGTCCAACGTGTACAAGCCCTTCAACCTGACGATTTTCCAGCAAGAGTGCGGTTTTGTGAGTGGTTGTTGCATCAACATGACAATAATCCGGACTTTTTGAAGTGCATATTGGTGACAGACGAATCTACGTTCACGCGTAATGGGGTGAATAACTCATGTTTGGTCAGTAGAAAATCCGCACGGTGTCCGTCGGGCACATTTTCAACAAACATTTTCGGTGAATCTTTGGGCTGGCATGGTGTACGATATGCTCATTGGACCATTTATTCTCCCAAATCGATTGGACGGGATGCAATACCTAGACTTTTTACGCAACATTTTGCCTTCCTTGTTAGAAGATGTGCCATTAAGTGTAAGACAATCAATGTGGTTTCTGCACGATGGTCATATTTGTTACCTCTGTTCGTGGTCTACTGGTCTGCACCACCGCCGGCGTCTGCTCGGTAGCGCCTCAGCTTATTTCATTTTCTGTTGGAGCGGTATGATTTCGGGCAGAGACGTACTTAGCCCTTCTCGTCAACTGGAGAGTGAGTACTTTTTTCTTTATTTTTTTTACTTGGTCGCCCTCGTTTCACTATACATTACCTTTGTTATTTCAAGGGTAGTTGTTTCTGAAAAGGAAAACCCCAACTTTGCGGACACCCAGTGAAAAAATTATTGAAATCGGCCAATAAATGACAGAGACATTGATACTTAAATTTGGCACATTATGGCGCGAAATCATCGCTGCCGTTCGTTCGCGTCTCACGTTATGCCCTCTCCAGACTCACGCGCGATTCGCGCGCGAAGCCGCGAACTATCCGCGATCCATGAGTGTAGATCCCATTCGCGTATTCTTCGCGGCTTCACGTCGCGTTCGCGCGTTGTTCCCGTTTGTTGTCGGTTTTTTGTCCCGCGACAAAGGGTTCGCAAGGCGCGAACATGACTAGGCTCCACATTCGCTGGTGGTTCAGTTGCCTCATAGCGAGTGTCGGGAGTGGTTGTGTTTTTTCCACTTATTTTCAATTGCCCTAGTTTTACTTATATATGCGTAATTATAAAATGCCAAAGCGCAAAGTAGCACTGCAGCAGCAGTAGCAATTTCACCATCCATACTCGTCAAGACCGCGAACTATACTGTGAAGCAGGCGCGAACATCTGCGAGTGTGGAACTGTAGGAAGAAATTTCGGGATTCGCACCGCGATCCGAGCCGCGATTTCACGCCGTGATTCGCGCGTGAGTCTGGAGAGGGTTTTACACTTCTCTAATGCCCAGCGTTTCCTCGCGTAGGTGCGACAGCGTCTGTGCGCTTAGTCATTAGTCTATAGACAATTCATAAGACATACCTGTGCGCTCAGACACGTGGTTTTCAGTTGATAACTGAGTACTACGTAAGGTCATACCATTATGGACCCCGCATGTGAAGGTACCTGGAGAAAATGTTTATTAGGGGGTTGTAATTGTTGTGCTCGTACATTTTGGAACGGTACAGTATTTATAACAACCTCTTTTTCTCATTTCGCTCATAACCGATCGTATATGCAATCAACTAGTTAAACAAATTGTAGCGGAAGACGTTTAGCCTACCATATGTCCCGCTGTATGTGTGCCTATGCATGTGTTTAGGAGACTGAGTCGGCTCGGGCCCAGGAATCGGCCGCGGGCGTTTCAACTGGATACTGAAGTGTGACGTCACGCGAAACGTACAGACGGAATAAAAATATTGTCGCGGGGCGCAACTTTGATAGGCTGTAACTTTTTTGTTTTTAGAGATAAATTAATAATTGTTTCACCATCTTGTTTCATTTTTTCTAAGGTTTCATTTTAGCTAATAACAAAAAATGGTAAACTTGTCCATTGGCAGCAGCCGCTAGCTAGTCAGACATTGCACGCCATGCCTAGTCGCGATGAACGCCACCCATTGGAGGAATGACACAACGACCGTCATTTCCTTGAACTGCTAGAACTCACGGCTTAGGTCATAGAAGCTATGAATGCTCTCCACTGGTGCCATCTCTGAAACAGATATTACAATAAAGTCAATCACACCGACAGCACAAGCTTTTAGGCAACACGTACGGCTACAACAATAATGAATGGTGGCTAGTACGTAGCAGAAATGAAGGCGATCACAAGTGTCAGATTGCGTCTGACAATCGCTTTTATTTTGCAGTTACGTTTGTGTATTCTGAATCCCAAACCATATTGCACACATGCGACCCATTCTATATTCCAAATCGGCCATCTTCTGACACCTCCTTGAGATGGACATATTTCAAATTACCTAGGTATATCAAGTTATATTTGCTTGGGAATTTGAGACCAAAATGGAAGTTTTCCCTGCAAAGTTCTGAATCAATTTGAGGTGTCCAGAGAGAAAATTTTCTAAAAGTTTTGTATATCTGTAGTCTGAACCCCCATCTTTTAGGTAAGTCAGGAGCGTAGATGGATCAAAACCAAAATTTTACGGTAGTATGTCAATCGGTTCAGTGTGGGGACGTGTTCAAAGTTTCATGGCTCAAAGTATGAATCTTACCGTTTTCCATTTTCTCGCCACCTCTGACCGTGTAGAACATGAGGCCCCTTAGTATATGACTATTACAAAGCAACGTTGTATAAAGAACTGAAAAATGACTACCAAATTGCGGTCTGATAATTATTTTTTTTACTGCTGTATTGGGCTGACAATTCGAAATTCATCTGAAACGAAGAATCCACAAAATGAAATTTTTTTCATAAAGGAGAATCACCAACATACCCCACTATATTGAAATTTGATATACCTTTTGGGGATCTGTATTCCTGAACACTGATAGAAGAGTCGGGGTAAAAGCTAACTGTGTTATGAAAAGTTTAATGATATGAATACCCTGGAACCATACTAATTCGC